GTTACCTTGATTATTGAGTAATCTGACACTGTCCTCTATCCTTACCTTAGTTTAGGCCCTTCACCTTTCTCTGGACCCTCAGTATTGCTGAATCCAAGTGTGGCTTGGAGTGTGGCCCATGATCTGGGTTCAAATCCTGCTTTACCCCTTCTTAGCTCTGTGGCCTAAGGCACATCGTTAACCCTTTTGTGCTTCAGCTACCTTCTCTTAAAATAAGAACAGTTCTTCATGGGGCATTTGGAAAGAACAGGGGTTGACAAGCTTTGCCTGTAAAGTACCTCAAAATCAAACTCACTGCCATCAAGTTGATTAAAACTCAGAGTGACCCCCATTGGGGTTCTGAGGTGGTAAATCTACGGAAGTGGATTGAAGGTCCACCAGGGCTCCTTACCCAGGTCAACAGCTTGGAAAGCAGCTATGCTCACCACTATATAGTATATTGTATAGTATAATGTGCAATTATTCCAGGTTTTGCAAGTCAAGAGTCAAAATCAAGGCTGTTAGATAGATACGTATATAATTAGGGAGTAAAAAAGTTTATACACATTTTTATTGATGAAACTCACTATATAATAATAATTGAGTGTAATGTTTTATTCTGCAGTAATATATCAGACAGTGTTTTACTGCTTGCTACTCATAAGGTTTTCACTGGCCAATTCTTTCAGAAGTGGGTGGCCCTGTCTTTCTTCCCAGTCTGTCTTAGTCTGTAAGCTCCGCTGAAACCTGTCCACCGTGGAGAACCCTGTTGGTATTTGAAATACTGGTGTCATAGCCTCCAGCTTCACAGCAACATGGAAGCCACCACAGTACAACAAACTGACAGACAAGTGGTGCAATAATGAGCTCAAACATAGTAGGGATTGTGAGGATGGTGCAGGACATGGCAGTGGGTCACTATGAGTTGGAATTGATTTGATGGCACGTAACAACAACAGTGTTTTGTAACACGGGCTTATAAAGTAGAGGATCAGGGAAACTGCAGGAGATCTTCAGTGAGATGGGGGAACACGCTAACCAGGGCAGTGAACTCAAAGACACCTGTGCTCATAAAGATGGCACGGGACTGAGAACCATGGGTAGCCATGACTCAGAGAAACTCAGTAGCAACTAACAACAAGAAGTGAGAAGAATGCAAAGGTTTGGGGTATTATGGGGGGTGGTGCATAACACTTTGCATAAATAGGGCTCAAAGCCAGGCTATCCTGTCATT